AGGCATTGACTTTCCCATCAGCTGGAGGTACATGGTCTCCATGTTCTTGGATACAGAGGATGTCATCATGGAGGGCCATCTTTCTAAAGGCATTGACTGTCCCATCAGCTAGATGGACATGGTCTCCATGTTCTTGGATACTGAGGATGTCATCATGGAGGACCATCTTTCTAAAGGCATTGACTTTCCCATCAGCTGGATGGACGTTGTCTCCATGTTCTTGGATACTGAGGATGTCATCATGGAGGACCATCTTTCTAAAGGCATTGACTTTCCCATCAGCTGGATGGACATGGTCTCCATGTTCTTGGATACTGGGGATGTCATCATGGAGGACCATCTTCAACAAGGCCAGACAATCAACGGAGCATATTATGTTGCACGTTTGCGGCAATTACTGGTTGAAATTAAGACTAAGAGACGTGGTAAGCTGAAAAAGGTGTGGTCGCTCACAAGGACAATGCGCTGGTGCATAAATCGGTCATTGCCATGACTACAATCCACGAGTGTGGCTTTGAACTCCTTCAGCACCCAGCGTACTCTCCTACGTCATACTCCCATCCATGAAGAAAGAACTCGCGGCCAGAGGTCATTTCAACTCAACCAATAGTGTGATATATAGCCGCTGTGGAGAACCTTTTGGACAGCCAAGAGAAGCACTTCTACGAAATGGTTTGGTTCCAGAGCTTCTAACATCTGATTAAAAACGCACCAGGTAAAACATTTCCTGTGGTAATCTAGCTGTTTGAAGCTAATCCAGGTTCTCGCAACGATTTGTGCCTGTGGTTGAAAACTGGGTTCAAATCTTCCAGCCTGAATCCAGACAACAGCCTACAAGTACTTAATTACTGCTCGTTCAAGTCTTTTTCGTGTGAGTTTGTGAGACGCAGAACTGATCAACCAACTCTCGTAGCAGCAAACAAACATGCCATCTTCCCGAGGCAAGGGAGTTACTGTGTCTAAAGGTCCATTTTACCCACGCCTCGGGAAATACGGCTGACGGACAGAGATCTGCCATGTGCACACTGATGCTATTTCTACTAAGTTTCACTCACTCACCATTCTCGTGGCGTTATATCCACGTGTGATGTGGAATAAATTAGAATGAAGTATGAATTGACGTTGGACGGCTTACACACAAAGTAGCATATAACGCCACGAGAATGGTGAGTGAGTGAGTGAGTTGGGTTTAACGCCGCTTTTAACAGTATTCCAGTTATATCACGGCGTGTCAGCTTAATGTGGGAGGAAAGCCCGAAGTGATGCAGATCTCAGACGTTTACCACTTCGGTAAAACCCACGAGCACGGGTATGGTGCTGACAAAACTAAAAACATAATCGGGGTGAACAGGGATTCGAACCCACAACCATGTCGACATACTGAAAAATATAGAACGTGCTGTGGAAGAAATACGTTTGAATCCGTCACCAATACGAGAGTTAAAACCCTCAGTGATGCAGGTTCTGGACATTAACCTCTGAAAAACGCAATATCACAAGTATGCGGCTGACAAACCATGATCCTGGGATCCTAAGGGACGCAACTCTGCACAGCAAATTCCGACACCTTTGACTGATGGCAAAGCGAGTGAAAACTGTTTGTGAAAGGCAACGCTTGATGGGCATTTGACTTAACAAACCACACAAGACTGAATACATTTGAAAACTATATCTTTATTCTTAATTTAAGCAACTGAATTGCACTGTACACATAATGACTCAAGTGTGCTTAAATATTCACCTTGGTAGTGCTTTCGATGAGTGATGACACATACTGTACAAATATACACGGATGAGAGTGTTCTCTTAAAGAGGGGAGTGTGTGGGTGTGGGGGTTGGGGGGTTGAGCTGACCAATGAAAGGGTAGGTGGAGATGAGATGGAGGGTGTTTAAGCAGTTTCACGGGTGGATCAGTGGTGCTAAGCGACAGAGGGGGATGTAAACCTAGCGAAGGGGAATGGTTGGGAACAGGAGGCAGAGGTGTTTCAAGGAGTGGGTGTAGAGAGTTGAGGCCAGTCGTACTGGCTGTTCAGGGTGTGGGTAGGGAATGGGCGCGAGGGGTACAGGAGGTTGAGGGGTGAAGCTTATTATGGTGTGTGTGCGTTTGCAGCAAGGGGGCAAATAAACTCAGATGCAAGGAATTCCTAGTCACGGCATGATCACTGCAACATGTCCAAAGTTTCATCTATGTTAGTGAGTGAGTGAGTGAGTGAGAGTATGGTTTTATGCTGCTTTTAGCAATATTCCAGCAATATCACAGAGGGGGACACCAGAAATGGGCTTCGCACATTGTACCCATGTCAAGAATCGAACCCAGGTCTTCGGCGTGACGAGCTAATGCTTTAACCACTAGACTACCCGACCGCCCCGATAGTGAGCAAAGATGTCTTTATGTGAAGCTTGTTTGCATGTATTATATTTGTTGAAAACCAGGCCCGTCTATAGCATGGCAAGCAAGACTGTAGCCAATAGCCTACCCACCACCCTATCATAAGGTGAAGAACGGTGTGTTGGGAGGGTGATGCATCAGCATTAAGGGAGTGCATCGGCATTGGGGAGTGTTTAGTGTGGTGGGAGGTGATGCATCAGCACGAAGAGAGTGCATCGGAATAGGGGAGTGTTTAGTGTGGTGGGAGGTGATGCATCAGCATTAAGGGAATGCATCGGAATAGGGGAGTGTTTAGTGTGGTGGGAGGTGATGCATCAGCATTAAGGGAGTGCACCGGAATAGGGGAGTGTTTAGTGTGGTGGGAGGTGATGCATCAGCATTAAGGGAGTGCACCGGAATAGGGGAGTGTTTAGTGTGGTGGGAGGGTGATGCACCAGCATTAAGGGAGTGCACCGGAATAGGGGGAGAGTTTAGTGTGTTGGGAGGTGATGCGTCAGCATGAAATGAGTAAATAGCGTGATGTGACGTGATGCATTAAGGGAGTGATAATCCTAAAACACTACCTGTATGGGAAATACTGACATGTGCTTCTGTTGGATGGGAAAATAATCGGTGTGATTTTCAGGGCCACTCTGTGTAATCAATACTGGGGTGAGGCTGTGGACCTGAGACACACATGCACTGTGTGAAAGGGTGGAAGCAGTTGGGTTAATTGTACAATGAATAGGTAAGCAGCAGCGAGGGTGGGGTGGACGTGATGAAGCATGATGCAAGGCTAACTCAGTACTGACATATTCCGACAGGATGACAATATACAATGAGGCAGTTGTCACAGTGATGGCAGGATTGAAGCAGATGCAGGGAAGCGACCTGAACAAATGGCAGTGCAATCATGTAGCAGCAGTAGGGGTGTCAGCTGGGAAGAAGGATGCTGCTTAATGTGAGATGAAGGATAGGATCTAGGATGGCGATGAAGGTGTGGTTAGGATGGGGTTTGGATGTAATATGGTGTGGGATGAAAGAACGGATTACGGATGGGTGTGAGCTAGGAACTAGTTTGTGATCTAGGTGGGGTCAGGGTGGGGTAGGGGTGTGGATGTAGGGTGGGACGTGAGTTAGGTTGCACATGAGATTAGGGGAGATGCAGGATCGGCTGTAGGACTTGATTTAGCTTGCGATTGTATGGATGCTGATGTAGGATTGGGTGTGTAGGCTGAGGTTTGTTTTAAAATGGGAGTTGTAGTGTGGGGGAACAATAGGTGAGCCATGCGTTGGGGGATGGGGGATGTCGGATGGGGGATGTCGGATGGGGGATGTCGGATGGGGGATGTCGGATGGGGGATGTCGGTTGTGAGCGTGGGTGTGGGCGTGGGCGTGGGCGTGGGCGTGGGCGTGGGCGTGGGCGTGGTATTTTGGTTAGGGTGGAAGATGGGATATATGGGTTTGTGGGTTGATGGGGTTTCTTAAAATTGGATGTTCAAGGGGTCAAGTGATTGTATATGGGGTGAAGGGGATTCAGGGGTGGATCGGGATGGGATGTGGGATTCCGGAGGGGTGTGTCCCATGAAGAATGGGATGTGGGATTCGGGGGGGGGGGGGGCAGGATGGGATCTGTGATGACGGTTAAGGATATGGCAGACTGGGGTCATGGGCTATTGATGGGATGACAACATCAAAGATGGAATATAGAAAAGATGAGCATATCACATAAATAACGTCAACAGCTGCTGCAATATATTTATCTGTGTGATTAAAGTCAAGGAAAATATATCACATAATATATACAGTCTAAGTCTGCAATGCTTCTGGTATCAGCTAAATATACAAACTCCTTTAGTAATACAGTCAGCACTGATCTAAGTGTTGTTGATCCGACCTGACTTTCGAACCCCTTACGTGGACGGACCAACAAGTACAGACACTGTGAATAACATACAGACAAGGACGAGGTAGAGAAGGGCCCTCTGTGGCCGGCCCACTACAAGTGGCAATGGATAAGTTATGGGAAACTTGAAAAATCAGCCTTTTCGACAGATTTTAGCGTAACTTCTATAAGTGTTGAATTGAATGATAATTTGGAAAAGTTTCCTACATATCTTAAATTAAACAGAGCCTGTGGGCCAAACAAGAGCCCCCTCACAATACCTCATCCTTTGTCAGTATTTAGTCTTGCACATGCAAAGTCGTTTCTCCAACAATGAGACCAATTTTTGGCATCAACCATTTCTAATTACCGGTACCAGATTTGATGCTCCAAAGGGTAGACACCATGATTTAAATCCAACAAGCCCACGATTCATTATGGACCAATTGTTTTGTGTAACAGAACTAGACCATGGGAGAAACAACTTGTCCCGGATCATCCTTGCCTCACTGTACAGAGTTGAGAAAATGACTCTTCAAGTAAAATTAATGACATCTCAATGACCAGGAATGAAATCGTAAATTACTGCATAATCACAAAGCCATGCAGTCAAGATATTCCCGACAGCACTGAAACATTACATGAAACAATTGGATTCTGTGACGTAATGAGGTGCACTGTGGTGTGACATGGGGCACCGAGGTCCACTGTGGGGTGCTATGGGGCAATATGGGGTGCTGTTGGATGCTATTGAGCAATGAGGGTGCTATTGGGCACTGTGGGGTGCTGTTGGATGCTGTGGAGCAATGAGGGTGCTGTTGGATCCTGTGGAGCACTGAGAGTGCTGTTGGATGCTGTGGAGCAATGAGGGTGCTGTTGGGTGCTATGGGGCACTGAGGGGTGCTGTTGGATCCTGTGGAGCACTGAGAGTGCTGTTGGATGCTGTGGAGCAATGAGGGTGCTGTTGGGTGCTATGGGGCACTGAGGGGTGCTGTTGGGCTCTATGGAGCACTGAGGGTGCTGTTGGGCTCTATGGAGCACTGAGGGTGCTGTTGGGTGCTGTGGAGCACTGAGGGTGCTGTTGGGCTCTATGGGGCACTTAGGGGTGCTGTTGGGTGCTATGGGGCACTGAAGGGTGCTGTTGGGTGCTATGGGGCACTGAGGGGTGCTGTTGGGTTCTATGGAGCACTGAGGGTGCTGTTGGGCTCTATGGAGCACTGAGGGTGCTGTTTGGCGCTATGGAGCACTGAGGGTGCTGTTGGGCTCTATGGAGCACTGAGGGTGCTGTTGGGCGGTATGGAGCACTGAGGGTGCTATGGAGGACTGAGGGGTGCTGCTGGGTGCTATGGGGCACTGAGGGTGCTGTTGGGTGCTATGGAGCACTGAGGGTGCTGTTGGGTGCTATGGGGCACTGAGGGGTGCTGTTGGGTGCTATGGGGCACTGAGGGGTGCTATGGGGCACTGAGGGGTGCTGTTGGGTGCTATGGGGCACTGAGGGGAGCTATGGGGCACTGAGGGGTGCTGTTGGGTGCTATGGGGCACTGAGGGGTGCTGCTGGGTGCTATGGGGCACTGAGGGGCGCTGTTGGGTGCTGTGGAGCACTGAGGGTGCTGTTGGGCGGTATGGAGCACTGAGGGTGCTGTTGGGTGCTATGGGGCACTGAGGGGTGCTCTTGGGTGCTGTGGAGCACTGAGGGTGCTGTTGGGTGGTATGGAGCACTGAGGGTGCTGTTGGGTGCTATGGGGCACTGAGGGGCACTGAGGGGTGCTGTTAGGTGCTATGGGGCAATGGGGAAGCACCGCATGAGATGATGACATTCATATGATTGGAAAATGAACTATTGTTAAGAAGTAATCAATGATAAATAGGTGATACATGTAACTGACAGTGATCGGACTCCTGTAACACTGGACTGTGGGACACTTCATCACATGACTAGGCTGGTAACAGAGGTAATTGGTATTCTAGAAGTCTGAAGGACACATGAAGCATGGCAACGTATTGATGCAGATAAAACATGAAAAGTGACACAATGAAGACAGGATGGATTGCAACAAGCAGCCAAGTTTGAAGAACATGTCAATTACCAGTACAAACGTCAATGCAGTCTTCACTGATATAGCTTGAGTACACAACTTACAGACATATTCAGCATAAAGAGAGACCATTTTACCCTTTAAACTCCCCGTGGCCTTCAGGTGAAGAGTGAGTGTGATCTCAAAAATTATTTCAGCAATGTTTCAGCAAGAATTGGCTACACTGGTTATGTGGAAGGGAACAGTACCCCTGTCTTTTCCACATGCTTACCCTTTGCCTACCGGTATGCTTTGTGATACTCTTCCTGCCATTTTGGGTGAAAAAATAGTTAATATCGCATCACAATTTCCAAAAATGTGTCTTGAATTCTTTTTGTTGTGAGGCCAAAAAGAATTGCTTGCTCCTCTTTTCAGAGGAGAATGTTTTGAAACAATGAGTGAATGAGTTGGGTTTAACGCCACTTTTAACAGTATTTCAGTTACATCATGGCGTGTCGGCTTAATGTGGGAGGAAAGCCTGAAGTGGTGCAGGTCTCAGACGTTTACCACTTTGGTGAAATCCACAAGCACGGTTTTGGTGCTGACATACCTGGAAACAAAATTGGGGAGAATTGGGATTCGAACCGACAATCATTGGTTTCTGTCATGGCCAAGGGACGCAACTCTGCACACTGCAGTGCCTTGGACGACCGGGCCCCATGCTCCCTCAGGCTATTAGGGTAACGATATATGCTGCTTCCCCAGTCACCCAGTCATCCTCATCACAACCCACCCACAATATTAAATGGCTGGTTGCAGTAACTAAAGCAACCATGTGCCTGTGAGCGTGCATCTTCCCGAGGCAAGAGACTGTAGAGGTCCAGTTTCCACCCTTGCCGAACTATGCTGGAATTTCTGGGTTTGAGCGTAGTGCCACAAGTGGCCATTACGAGTTATGTCCCCTCTATGTCCCTCCTATTGACCAATCAGAGTCCACCTCTCATATCACTTGCATTTGCTCAAACAAAATGGTAGTGCCCAGTGAAGACAGTCTGATCGATAATCCAGATCTATTTTGCAATAAACGGGACTTATTTCACGAAGTGCATCAAATCATGTGCCCACCTTGATTAAACATGCTTTGCAAATCCTGCAATTGACCGAAATCTGCACTGCAGTTTACGAACCGGATGTTAAATTCGTTACGCAATTTTTATTGGACAATGCATAGACCCAGTAGTCCAGCCTAGTTGGGCAAGGGTGGAAACTGGACTATCATGGTCAGTTAACTCCCTTGCCTCAGGAAGATGGTGATTGTGACAAAGTTATAAGAAGCATACACAATTCGATCGAACCTTGAGCCATCTGGCCCTCCTTACATGTACCACTGCTTGGTACGGAGGAAGCATATATTTCTGTATGCTTGAAGAACAGGAAGTACAAAAGTTCATAATCATCTGATGAAATGTCCATCCACTTAAAGCTTCTACCAATGACTAACAAAACAGTAACCATGGTAACATGAAACTGACAACAATACATTGACTGACAGCAAAATAGTCATGTTGAATTAGGAACTAGCCAATGAATATTGGGTGATGGGAGAGAGGGGTGAGTGAGTGAGTTGGTTTAACGCCGCTTTTAACAGTATTCCAGTTATATCACGGAGTGTCAGCTTGATGTGGGAGGAAAGCCCAAAGTGATGCATAACATGCTTCTCCAATCCAGAAAACTACCTGATATCTACTCTACTGTATAAACATTGCCTCCTACCTGTATATATACTTGTCAACCACACTCTGTATATCACTTGCTTGATAACGGTGTTAGAACCTACACCGAAACGTCGCTCTTAATTGTAATAAAGAAGTTGTTCATCCATAAATCTTATCCTTACTTAGACAAGTATTGTTATCACCCTAAAACATAGATTTTGTGTTATTTGACAGGAAGGTACAGCAATAAATGTCTTCCAAGAATCAGCAAATTGATGGGGAAGTCGTAAGGGGAGGTTGCTCCGAGTTCTGTTGGATGTTGGATTCTGAGGTTGTTTTCTGAATGGGATGCCAGTGGGCCATCTTTACACACAGTCATGAATTAGTAAGATACAGAAGAAATTTCCGATCAAAAGACACCTGTTCAATGAGAATTAGAACTCCAATACAAAATCCACATCTTAAGGAAAGGGATTGATGAGGTCTCATTTTTGCCCACAAGATCAAACTGTCACAAACAATCCTTGTTAATAACAAGTTGTTTTCCAAGAGACTTTTAATAGATGTCAACAGGGTTTACAAACTATGAAATATATATTCATGATTCGGAAATTCACTTGAGAAGGGGATTGGTCAGGAAAGATTTCTCAAGACCGAGTACATGATTCATGTTCCTTCATGGCCTGTGAAGCCTGTATTTAACCAAATCTTTGACACTTCCACTAAATCTAAATTGTGACATGAGATGGAAGACTAGACTGACTACAAGACAAACTGATGAAGTAGCCCCCCCCAAATAATAGTCTCGGTTGTCAGGCACCGCCCGCATCATCATAAAGTCTGCTGCATTGTTTGTTTTTATATCAATTTAAATTTCTTTCTAAAAAATCCTTAAATATTCCAAGTCCAACGGCAGTCAAATACTGTATTCCAGTATTTTACTCATCAAGGAATACATTTATGTAGGGATGACCTTTCCGTGGTTGACTGTACATAATAATTGTTTATTTGGATACATACTAGTTTGAACATCTCCTCCCCCCACCCACCCACCCAAAAAAAGACACCGCCTGCCCACACTATATTTTCAAAAAACGTTGCTTGGGAACCAAATCTTTTATTTTTTAAGCCTTATTGAGATATTCTTACAAAAAAAATGTTCGATTTGAAATTAATATATGAGTTTCAAAACAAAAATCAACAAAGACCTCTACTGACATTTTTAAGATGATTGCTGAATCAGTTACTTTAATGAAAAAAAAGGTTTTGTTGTTGTTAAAACAAAACAAAAACCATCAAATCTTTCATCTCAATGCCCAAGAAGTGTATCCTCTCTATCATTTCAGCGTGAGGTTTTGGTTGTACACAGCAGTAGTGACACAAATGCCATCTTTAAACCACCATCAGCAGCAGGTGAATTCCTAAAAGGGGGAGTGTACACGCAAAAATCACTTTCTTTCTTTTTCTAAACAAAACGCAATTTTAGAATTAATTAGTATCTGGGCTTGAAAATATACACTCATTTTTTTCACAGTGAAAGTAGGAAGCTCACAATAGTGTGAAAATGATATGCCGTTATGAGGCCTTCGTTTTTCGAGCTAAACAGGCCTGAGTTATCCCCCTTAGATTATGACGTAATTGGTGCCAATTCAACTGGGTCCCTGTCTATTCTCGACGCAAAAAATATCAAGTACCAGTTTGCGGTAAAACAACATGGCCTACGACACACACAGGCGCAGTGGTGACTCAGCATAACACTATGCTGGCTGGCATCTGAGACGCTAGAATCACACACCTGGACCTACACCACGTGAAGCGGCTCTAACAAAGCATAATGACGTCATAATGTTTATCAATTGGCACCAATGACGTCATATTGCAAGGGGCATAAGCCATGGTGTTTTTGTTGTGGAAATAGAACACTTGGTAAATGTGAAAAATATAAATCGTTTTAATGAGAAAAATATGTTAATTAATTGTGATATTTTTATATTTTTGTCTATGACACTTCTAGGTTAACACTTTTAATGTGGAAAAAGTACAAGAAAAATAGGCTCATTTCCGTGTGAACTGGCCCTTTAAGGACAATCCAGAACCATATTGCACAGTAGTTTGCTTGGGGGGTTGCGGAGGGACTATTCTAACCCGGATCCTTTGCACAATTGAAACTCATACATAGAAAAACAGATTAACTCTAGTCATCAGAAAGAATTGGATGATCTTCAACTTATTTTGAGTAGTATATATATAGATGTCAGCATGTATCAACATTTATCCTCCCAAACTGGCTAACCATGAAGTCCCAATGAAATGACATCACTTATTCCTCTGCAGCTGAAGCATGTCAGCTGTACCTTTCATCTTAACATCTTGATGGGCCCTGGGCCCCCCTAGACAAGTTCAAATCTGTCCCTGCAGTGACAAATCATACTGTCAGTACGATGATGAAGAAAGCAAAACATCATGGATGCGATCACTAAATGAGAAGATTCTAAAATTCCACACCAGCTATCTTGTACTCAGTCTCCAGATGGGTAAGCTTGGCCCAATACCTCACATTTGAGGTGTCTTAATTTACTCAGGGTCCCCATGACTGAGGTTCTTGATGAGATCTTTACCAACCCTAACAACACAGTATCACTACAATAAAAGTCATTTAGTATTCTTTGGTTGATATACATGAAAAACAGCCTGTTCAAGACATCATAATTCCTGCAATTTCAGAAAAAAATAATAAACTTTGAATGATAATTTCTAATTCACGCCAAAGTCAGGTCAAGTTAATATCTTGTTCCAATTGCAGGAAAGAAGAGAAAATATGAAATATAAATTCAGAGATTTAAAAGGAAATGCAGGTTGATAATAATCAATAGGTCTACTGGTTACAAATTCCTAAACCAAAGTTCATAAAGTGCTCTTCGTTGAACACGTCACTTGCTTGTTTTTGATATTTTTCATCGAAAAACCATCTTTCTCACAAAAAGAAATGAGGTGGAAGTACTGTGTGTTTTGTATCCAACATAAGCTTGTCCCTGCTGTATTCAGCCTTCACGGAATATTGGGAGGAAACACCCACTTGGTGCAGAAACAGACTTATCTTGCAGAAAATAGATCACTTTTGGTGCAGAAACAGACTTATCTTGCAGAAAATAGATCACTTTTTGTGCAGAAACAGACTTATCTTGCAGAAAATAGATCACTTTTTGTGCAGAAACAGACTTATCTTGCAGAAAATAGATCACTTTTTGTGCAGAAACAGACTTATCTTGCAGAAAATAGATCACTTTTGTGCAGAACTTTGCCTTTTTTCTGCTTCAAATTTCATACACGCAAGTCGACAGCTGTTTTTTAACGAGTAAAAGTTTCACAGACTTACTGAAATGGAGACATTATATGAATTATGCGTCGCATTAAATAAATCCTTATGGATATATGTTTCAGCTGTTTGTCTTATACAAAAAGGAATTTACAAATATTTTACGTTTTGAGAACTGGTTAAAAGAAAATATTAACCTGATTTCATTTTGAAGGAAAGTTGACATTTGTACAATTGGTTACCGAACGTGCATGTGTGTATGTTTACATAAGTGATTTCCAGATTCACTTTGATAAGCTGTTCTAGCCGTGGACAAGTTTAGTAGAAAAATGCCTATCACAAGTCAGAGAGATAAAAAAAACAACATGAAATTCATGAAAACTAAGCTTAAAAATGTGCCGGATTGTGAGCAGAATTACAAAAGTTGCAGAATATACAAAAAAAATTCCTTAGACGTTTATGCCCGCGGACTGCAGCTGGGACTGACAAGCCTCCCCCTGTCTACAGATGCCATCCAAGGGACAACACGCTGCACTGGGTATCTCACAGACACTTCATAAACATTCCTATTCTGGAGTGGAGAAAGAGTTGATACACATTATCACAAAGACAACTCCAAGCATGTACCGACACTATGTACAGTAAATACATTTACATGCAAAATATGGAATAATATTTATCTTATTTCTGACAAACCTCAATATATATATATATATGCGTGGGACCAAAACAGTGTTTGGGTCCTGTTACCATGGTTACCAAAAATATAGGCATTCAATTTAATAATAACATGATTAAATATTTGCATATTGAATTATATTCTCCTTCCTTGACTAAACGGGTATGTAATAGGTTTCTATTTCAAGTTTTATAAAAGATCGGGTATAAAACTCTGGTTAGGTAACCATGGTAACTTGACCCAAGCATCCTCTTTCTTTGGTTACATTCAACATACACTTTCATCACCATTTCAGCTTACACATACAGAGGTTACGTGTCCTTGGACACCGGACTAAAGGGTATCAGTCCAGAATTATAGTGTTTAGAACTAAAGTTAATATTTTCAATAGCGTTAAAAACTTGCACCTTTGCAGCATTGACATCATGAAACACCAGCTAAGTAACTGTATATTTTCAAAAATAAGTTCATTCTTTGTCTACTAAAATATAAAACACTGTATTGTCACAGTATAAGTGTATTCGGTCAGTATGTACTCGAATCTGTCACAACATCTTCCGAGTTAACCGACCATAAAAGTTCAGTGATGCAGGTCTCTGACGTTTAACCCATGGTGAAACCCATGAGTACTGTAATAGTGCTGACAAACTTAATCAGGGAGAACCGCGATTTGACTCCTCAAACACATGTTTCTGGTACTTCCAAGGGATGCAACTCTGCACAGCAAACTGCAGCGCCTTAGGTGACTGGGCCACCCGTACCCCGTAGACTTTTCATAGATTTATTTTTGAACTAATATTGTATTCAGGATCCATCATTTGACATTCTGGGGGTTTTCTACACACAAACAAAACAGTTTGTCCCTGAATCCTGGGCAAATATTATTTTGCCTTAAGTTTTACACCCCAAAATATTTGTTTTCCCTTTTCCAGCATGGATGTCATGAAATGCGTTGTGACAAAAACAACACTTTCTGGCTTGTTATTTCACAGAAGAAAAAGTGTAAGCTTTGAGACAGTGACCAAAAAACATTCAATCTCTGACAAGAATCCAAGGGCCAAGGGTCACTATCCACTGATCTGAAATATCATTGTACAATGTGCATATCTCAGTGTGTATCCATCAGATATGAACTATTTCACAGAAATAATAACTACAGCAAATTTACACAGACCATGACCATGACAGACATGGGACAGGATTGCACGATATATACAGTAATCTCTTCTCAGTGAGCCCTATGCAAAACAAATAGAAGTCCGGGTGTGAAAAATGCATTTTCCCAAGCTCCATTCCAGCACATGACACCATCATTCCTCCCCCGATATTATCGCTGCCACCAGTGCCACTTCATTTCAAGAAGTTTCCAATTTTGCCTTCCAACCCAAAATGTAAAGACGTGTTGATTTTGTGTCTGTCTCTGAGAATTTCATTATAGTAACATATAGCAAAACCCTTTAAAAAGGCAAATTTCTACTAGTCCTTACTATACCTTAACTATTGGGCAGTTTGGCAAGTACTATAGGACTTATGCCAATTTCTAACAATGGTTGTAGCCCTCTGAGCACAGCGACTGGTAGCAGTAATAGTATTGAGAGCTCCTGAACAGGTTGTCCTCGTGAGGAGCTTGGCATTTCCCTTGACAAGGGACATAATCCAATCTGAAGAAAACACCTAAATAAACATTACAAACATATTTACTTTTGTAAACAACCCTGCTTATGTTAAACACTACCAACAAACATCATAAGCATCATCTACATTACTGATCAAGAACAAAGACAAACAATTGGCTTAGCACTTGCAAAATCAAAACAAGTTCAAAGGGAGGTAACTCTGGCTGCCATCAGTAAACTATTCAGTTCTCTCCCCTTTTTCAACCAAACTGACTTGATGATTCCAACAACCTTGTAGCATTGTTTTGTTCACAAACAACACTGCTTCATTCAAGTCACATAGATCAACATTCTCCATTGACACTTCAAACAATATCCAAGTGAATTATAAAATTTTCAAATTTCCAAATTGATTAAGTATCAATTCAACATAATGAAGTCACACATACAAAAATATCTTTAAAAACTTAACAAAAGTGGAAATTTGGTTGAATTTAATCTAAAAAGGTTTCATCTGTCTTTGAAAACAATGTCTCAAAATAACCTTGCTGGGAACAAACCTACAGTCTCTGTTGCCGACAACGTAGGATGGTTAAACATGGGTCTGTTTTATCGGTGTAAATCCAGTGGCACTGGGGTTGGTATGGTTTGTCATGACTGGCGCCGGAGAATCCGATATATCAACAGACTCTGTGATGTCTGACGCCTCCGAGTCTGTCATGTGTATGTCGTGTGAGTCTCTGAGAGGCATGAAGCCGAACATGTGTGTCTTTGACGGGTGTGACTGATCGATCACGGCCCCCGGCCCGCGCGGAACTGTCTGCTCTGGACTGTGGTCTTCTAAGCTACTAGATGATATGCTGAAAACAACAAGCGAATATATCTCCATGATAGGAATGCTACCACAAGTTGTTTTAGATGAAAATATGAAACAAAGATTCAACATTCATTGACAAAAAGACTTGAAATTACTTAATGAGTAAGAATGGGTAAAGGAAGAAAGCAGAATCAAAGCATCTTATGTCTGAGCAGTAAAATTCAGTGACATTTTATAGTGACATTTCTTTGTGGACTACCACAATGGCAAGTCAAAAATTTTGCAGACTATTGCAAAATACAAATTAATTTCCGAATTCTGCATGGTATCATGAAAAGTAGGCAGATAAGTGTGAACAGTGTTTAGTTGATTTTTTTAGGTTATACCAACAAAATGCAAAATAGAAGCAGCACTTCCCTTACAGTTCCATACCCCCCCAGAAATAATACATGTCCGGTCCAACATGTTTTTATGACATTCCTCTAGGAGTTCTATGCAATTTCTATATGATGACATGTCCAGTTTATTGACATAAATTGCCATATTTTGCAGTTTGTAAGTTATTCACTGTGACCTACTACTGTTATCATCAACGACTGTCATTAATTCATATGGAAACTACATGCATAAGGGTATTAAGATTTAGATATATAAAAGCACCTGACTCCCCTGTGTGCTAGTGGGTGTGGCATCTAACTCACCTGTGTGCTAGTGGGTGGGGGATCTAACTCACCTGTGTGCTAGTGGAAGGGGGATCTAACTCACCTGTGTGCTAGTGGGTGGGGGATGATTCTGTCAGGTGTACTGGGTCCGGTGTGGAACTTCTTTGGAGGACTCAGATATTCAAACCTGTCGCTGTTGTCGGACTCCACTGAAATACATGCCAGTAGTCAGCCTGTCAGTGATATACATGTATCTGTATGGGTGATATATACATGCCAGTAGTCAGCCTGTCAGTGATATACATGTATCTGTATAGGTGATATATACATGGCAGTAGACAGCCTGTCAGTGATATACATGTATCTGTATAGGTGATATATCCATGGCAGTGGACAGTCTGTCAGCGATATACATGTATCTGTATGGGTGATATATACATGGCAGTGGACAGCCTGTCAGTGATATACATGTATCTGTATAGGTGATATATACATGGCAGTAGACAGCCTGTCAGTGATATACATGTATCTGTATAGGTGATATATCCATGGCAGTGGACAGTCTGTCAGCGATATACATGTATCTGTATGGGTGATATATACATGGCAGTGGACAGCCTGTCAGTGATATACATGTATCTGTATAGGTGATATATACATGGCAGTAGACAGCCTGTCAGTGATATACATGTATCTGTATGGGTGATATATACATGGCAGTAGTCAGCCTGTCAGTGATATACATGTATCTGTATGGGTGATATATACATGGCAGTAGACAGCCTGTCAGTGATATACATGTATCTGTATAGGTGATATATACATGGCAGTGGACAGCCTGTCAGTGATATACATGTGTCTGTATAGGTGATATATACATGGCAGTACACAGCCTGTCAGTGATATACATGTATCTGTATGGGTGATATATACATGGCAGTGGACAGCCTGTCAGTGATATACATGTATCTGTATAGGTGATATATACATGGCAGTAGACAGCCTGTCAGTGATATACATGTATCTGTATGGGTGATATATACATGGCAGTGGACAGCCTGTCAGTGATATACATGTATCTGTATGGGTGATATATACATGGCAGTACACAGCCTGTCAGTGATATACATGTATCTGTATGGGTGATATATACATGGCAGTACACAGCCTGTCAGTGATATACATGTATCTGTATGGGTGATATATACATGCCAGTAGACAGCCTGTCAGTGATATACATGTGTCTGTATAGGTGATATATACATGCCAGTAGACAGCCTGTCAGTGATATACATGTATCTGTATGGGTGATATATACATGGCAGTACACAGCCTGTCAGCGATATACATGTATCTGTATGGGTGATATATAAATGGCAGTAGACAGCCTGTCAGTGATATACATGTATCTGTATAGGTGATATATACATGCCAGTAGAAATGTGGAGTCTGTGTTTTGGTTAGAGTGCTCCTGTTCCTTACAAAACTCGAGATACTCACGTTTGCGTTTCCCTAGTGGACTCGGTCGTACAGCAATGGGACTCAGGCTCCTGTAAAACAAAACTGTTTGATCACAACAGCCGATGCAACCATCACATGCTTCAAAACATCTTGTAATAGAGTACCTGATGGGAATATCGCTGAATGTGGTGTTAAACAAGAAACAAAGAAACAAAGAAACAAACAAACAAACAAACAAACAAACAAACAAACAAACAAACAAGGATATTGCTGAGTGGACAAGTTCAGTCAAATTGTTTGGAGCACCAAACTTTGAACCGAGTTCTGTCCCTTGGGCGTCCTAGATTTCTAGATAGATAACGATACAAACACCTTGTAACAAACAAATGAAAAATGAAATATTCATAATGTTATGTTACACTGTTAGCGGAATATGTTTTCTAAACATGCAACATCTGAAGCTTAACACAAATCAACTGTGACAGACTGTACGACTGATTTAAAATACCTCAAAAAGCATAGTCTGGAATGGCAGTCGCCAGTTTGAAACTGGTGTCGTAAAGCTCAAGAAAGCAGCTTTCTTAGTGGCTAATGTCAATTTCCTGTTTGTCATTTCATTGTTTGGTCAAAGTTCACAAAATGTTGTTCTAAAGTGACCAGTAATGGGATGTCTTCAGTGGTATCGAAAACTTGTATCTGATCTTAATGAGATTGAGGTAATCTAAGCATGTGATTAATCCTGTTTAGTTTATTGCAAGCATTAATTGTTTATTGTTAAGCAAGTGCATCTCTGCAGCTGTTGTAATATGCAGCTTCCAGCCGACTCGTCTCGCATCAAAAAATGAGCTGTGAAAATATGAAAACTGTGTTCTCAAATCCTTTCACTGAACGGATAACATGGATAAAAACAGTGCAGTCAGGTCCCGTTAATCCGACATGGCTGGTTGCTTATGATTATGTTGGATAAATGAGAATGTCGGATAAATGAAATTAAGTAGTACCAACGTTCGTCGGTCATAGTTCGCGAAAGGTTCTTCTGACATGACCTGTAATGGGATGCCCTCGGCGATAGCGAGAACTTGAATCTGATTTTAATGAGATTGATGTAATGTAAGCATGTGATTAATCCTGTTTTCCTTATTTAAAGCATTAATTGTTTATTATTAAGCAAAGTTTATCTCTGCAGACGTAATATGAATCGTCCAGCCGACTCGTCTCACATCAAAACATGAGCTGTGTACTGGCGGGCAGATGACCATGGAGTACGCTGATCACTGTGTCGTATTAACGAGACTCATTAGTGAATGATTTCGGTAATTCATTGCAAATTAGGTGTGTCAGAGTCAGAGTGTGAGACTGTCGGATAAACGGATGTAAATAGCATTGATTAAACTGGTTCCCATCATTAGTGTCGGATAAAGCTGACTGTCGGATTAACAAGACTTGAGTGTATGAGGCTGCACTATTCAGGAACAGGTTGCACTGGTGCATGTTTTATATAGCTAAATCAAGGCCTGTCCAGGAGCCCCTAAACTTTAAACATTTTACATTCTTGACTTCCTGTTTAACTTTGAACACCGACATGTGTAGATGAGGAAGAATAATGATGTGGAGGGGTAACCGGTATGCGTGACCCAAAGCTGCCACTCCACACATTAGTGAGTGAGTGAGTTGGGATTAACACCGCTTTTAACAGGATTCCAGTTATATCGCGGCGTGTCAGCTTAATTTCGGAGGAAAGCCCGAAGTGATGCAGGTCTCAAACGTTTACCACTTCAGTGAAACCCACGAGCACGGTTATGGTGCTGACAAACCTAGAAACATAATCGGGGCGAACCGGGATTCGAACCCACAATCATAGGTTTCTGGCGTGCCCAAGGGACCACAGCAAATCACGGCGCCTTAGACGACTGGGCCACCCGTGCCCCCACTCAACACATTAACCATGTTAACGTAGACATACCTCATAAATGACTTTCTTGTAGGACTTGGACTAGGTGAGGGTGTAAACGAGTGGTTCCGTATCGGAATCTGCATTGATGGAGAGAAGCATTGCTGAAAAAAAAACTTATACATTTTGATATTTTCATTCAACTCAAGTTAGCTGTCAAAAAAAAAACAGCTCTCACTGCACAGATCATATCAAACTGTACTTCAACACGATAATAACTCAAATTGTTAACCAAAAAGAAAAACTGTTTTCACACTTTCAAGAAAGTAAAAATGCTATTTATCTAAAAACTTGGGATAGGTCTCAAGTGCCAACACAACTTCGACTAATGAACTAAGGGTCTGATATTCCTGTCAGTTGATTCAGTACACACACAGTCCTCACAACGGCTTTGTTAACACAGAAATATTCATTTTTTTCCAAGCTGATGACTTGAATCTCAAATTCATTATCCGAGAAGTTGATAATGCTACTTGTCAGTACTTGTGTAACTAGGCGACGACTTATGTGTCCACGCTTCTGATTGGCTGATGTCACAAGTGCAACCTGCCCTTATCCAATCAAAGTTAATTATACCTTGTTTATTATGTTTCATTCAGACTGCCTGTCTAAGTTTGTTTTTCGAGCCCTGCAATCATTGAATTTCTTGGTTCAGACTCAATTATGTACAGAACGCCATCATATAGCTGGAATACCGATGAGTTCCCCGATAAACAACAAACACGCATACAAAGAAACAAACCTTCCCAAGTCTGGTGGGCGAGGGGGACCCACAGAGTAGACTAGGTGATGTCATGATGTGGAGGGACTCGCTGAACGAGCGTGGGCGTCGCTGAGTCTGCTCCGCTAACATCTCACCCTCCACCTGAAACACAAACAGGAGGACTGTGATATACCCGGACCTGTTCAGAGGCTCATATGCTGCCCAATCTCATTAAAATCAGATCTTAGTTCTCGCTATCGCTAAACAAAGATCTGAGGACATCCCATTAGGGGTCACGTCAGAACAACCTTTCATCCAACCAATCAGAGCGTCGCTTACCAGATCATGAAAGTGACAGACAGAATGTGATTTCTGATCATGCAACCTCGAAATATTTAACAGAGGGTATTCTGAATGACAGTTACAGGTTTTATGATTATATCCATACAATCTAGGCCATCTGTAAGCCATTCCAGAATGTTCTTTTTATCAGTTCTTTAATTTTTAACCGAGAATACGTCAAAATATGTTTCGAAGCGTAGTCGCCAGTTTGAAACTAGTGTCGTAAAGCTCGAGAAAGCTGCCTTCTGATTGGCTAATGTCGATTTCTTGTCAGTCATTTCATTGATCAGTCAATGTTTGCGAGAGGTCGTTCGGAAGTGACCCGTAATGGGATGTCCTCATCTTTGTTTAGCTGTAGCGAAAACTAAGATCTGATTTTAATGAGATTGATATGCTGCCCTAAGTCTTCAGCCAATGTCAGTGACAATGCCCAAGTTACAAGTTTCCCAACTCATGTCATGAAACTCCTCATATTAATGTGTCAATGGCACGGAGAAGTTCACAGTGATTTAGCAGCACACTTAGATATCAGATTACGTTAAAAAACATAATTGTGGATTTGTCATGTTATGCGATGCCCTTGCCAGATTCAAGATTTGTTTGTTGTCTAATGCCGCACTCAGCAATATTCCAGCTATATGACAGCGGTCTGTAAATAATTGAGTCTGGACCAGACAATCCAGTGATTGACATGAACATCGATCCACTCAATTGGGTTACGAAGACATGCATCAACCACGTCAGCGAGTCTGACCACCCGATCCCGTTAGTCGCCTATTGCGACAACATAGTCGCCTTTTAAGCAAGCATGGGATGCTGAAGACCATTCAGGCAAGTGTGAGCATGTTCGGCTTATCATCACTTTGAACTGTATTTCAGTTTTATCACGGCGTGTCATTTTAATGTGGAAAAGCTCGAAGTGATGCAGGTCTCGGACATTTACCACTTTGATGAAACTCACAAGCACTGGTATGGTGCTGACATACCTAGAAACAAATCAGGGCTGAATCTGGTGTTTCCAAACCGTGACCAGGCTTCTGACATGCCCAACTGTGGCACCCGAGACACACTGTGAGGATCGCTTAATGATGGTTTTAGCAATCCCAGTGTTTGAAATCATTTTAAAAGCCCACAAGTAGGGTTGACTATTGGTCTGGAAATCACTATTGCGATAACTATTGATAGTGAAAGAAACTACTGCGATAACTATTGATATTGCTAGTAACTATTGTGAAAAATATCGATAGTTTTCAGTGTATCATGTAGATGGATTTTAGAGTTGAATTAAACCTTGGAACTGAAGTTTCCTTTGAATGTGATAACCATAACAACAAATAAAAAGTAAAGTTTGAGATATGACTGATTTGTTTTTTCTTTACCCTAATAATTTAAGAAAAAGACACTTCCACATTACCGTGAGTAAATTACTACCACTCATGATCAAAAGAAAAACAAATTTGAACAGCATTGCATGTATTTTATTGATATGGTAAATATAATCGAAACTATCAATATTCCTAACTGAAATAGGTACTATTGATCGGAAACTGATTTAACAATCGATATATTGACTTTAAGTGCTTACCAATGGCAGTATATCGATATTTTGATTTATCGTGACACCCTACCCACAAGACAGAGGGGCAGGTGACAGATAAGGGTTACCTGCCCAACTTTAAAATTACCTGCCCGCTTTATGAATATTGAAACATTGCCGAAAATATGAGACAAATCGCGTCTTGACTAAGTTGAATAATGCACACAACTACTTGAATATAGCAAGAGTCATCAGAAGATGACAAATCGGCCTGGTCGGCCCCTACAATAGGAAAAGGCACCACTTCAGCCCCTGGTGAATGCATGTATCAAGTTTGGATGAAAAATCTTTCAAGGTTTTCAAGTTAGGCTCCGTAAATAAAATACAGACAGGTGGATTGACAGACAGACAGTCCAGATGATGGCTATAATAAATAGGAATAAAACTGAGTTCGTAAGTAGTCTTAAAAATTATCTGCCAGACAGTCGCGTAGGTGGGGAAAAATTTCATGCAGCCCGACAGAAATTTTTTACTACGGGCAGGCAGTTATTTCATTCTCCAAGCAATCCTGCAGTCACATCCCCAGGGGGTATTTCAATATAAAGACAACTGAAGAATGATGAGAATATGTTTTAGGCTCACATTTGATTGACATACCAAATTGAATCCATCCCAAGATGTTGAGATCTGCATTTGGTTCCTCATTTCCCTGGAATAATCAGAATACAGATGTAGGACCAACATTGATTATGGTTATCTATACGTAACTGAGAGGGAATTACTTTGTACCATTCACTATTACCACTAAATAATCCAAATAATGATCATAGAAGAGGGTGAGGTGAAATTGGGTTAACATTGTATTCATTATTGCACTCATATTGCAACATGCATGCATGTGTGAGTGTGTGGCTGCTTGTTCTTTGTTTGTTGTTTAACGCCACACTCAGCAATATTCCAGCTATATGACGGCTGTCTGTAAATAATCAAGTATGGACTAGACAATCCAGTGACTGGCATCATGAGCATCGATCCACTCAATTTGGATATGATGACATGCATCAACCAAGTCAGCGAGCCTGACCACCCGATCCCGTTAGTCGCCTCTTACGACAAGCAGAGTCGCACTTGACAGCAAGCATGGGTAGCTGAAGACCTATTCTACCCCGGATCTTCACGGGAGAGACAAGCATGGGTTGCTGAAGACCTATTCTACCCCGGATCTTCACGGGAGAGACAAGCATGGGTAGCTGAAGACCTATTCTACCCCGGATCTTCATGGGAGAGACAAGCATGGGTTGCTGAAGACCTATTCTACCCTGGACCTTCACGGGAGAGACAAGCATGGGTTGCTGAAGATCTATTCTACCCCGGACCTTCACGGGTGGCTGATTGTACTAGTCCAAACTAATGGCAGTGTAATAGTGCTAGCACACCGGATACCATGCCACAGTTTAACATGGATACTCAACAAGGACACATCACACTTACTCCAAGCAGACCAGTCCATGTTAAAGCCCCTTAATACCGAGCGCCATGCAGGGTAACAAGAAGTCGTCTGGTGACTCTCAATTAATTAAGACAATTTTTTCTATTTCTCCTACCCACCTCTCATGAGCAGCTTCTCGGTCAGGTATATGACTCTCCTCAATCTTGATCTGATTTATCCGATCGGGGACTCTCAAAGGTGTCTGAAACAACATAAATACATGAAAAAAGAGACGAAGTAGCATCAGGGTGTATTTCATCTCCCCGAGGCAAGAGAGTTAACTGACTATAAAAGTGCAGTTTCCACCCTTGCCGAACTAGGCTGGTATTATGGAGTTACATTTTGGCTGGACTAATGAGTCTACGCATAGTCCAATCAAAATCGCGCAACGAAATCGAAATCTGGTTCGTAAACTGTTGTGCACATTTCGGTCGATTGCAGGATTTGCAAAGCATGTGCACCGCCAACTCGTTGTCAGCAGATATTTTCCAAACCTTTTCACGTTTTTAATCAAGGTGCTCACGTGATTTGACGCATTTCGCGATGTAAGACCCGTTTTATCACAATATAGATCTTGATCATTGATCAGATCATCCTGACTGGGCGCCACCATTTTGTGTGAAGCAAACGCAAGTGATACAAGAGGTTGAATCTGATTGGTCCATAGGAGAGGCTTAGAAGGAACGTAACTGGTAATAGCCACTGGTGGCGCTACGATCGAGCCCAGTAATTCCAGCCTAGTTCGGCAAGGGTGGAAACTGGACTTTTAAAGTCAGCTAACTCTCTTGCCTCGGGAAGATGGGTCTATTTTGGCCCAGTTGAAAAGACAAATTTTAGAGTTATTGAAGCCTGTCTCAAATTCATATGGAAATTGTCAAACATATTCATATGGCTGATGACTAGCCATACTTCTTTTAGTATTTGCCCGTGTTGGATATCTGACATGATGAAATATATGAAACAAACATTTATCTAGGATTCCAAACAAAGTGCTCTTAGCAGGGGAAATATTGTTATTTTGCTTAAAATTAAGATTTCTTTTACTGTTCTTATTTTCCTAAATTCCGAAAGTGACTAAACATTGACAGGGTTTTACACAACTCAGAAATGTGTGTCCAGTATGTACAAGTGTATTGAAAGACTTAGGGCTGACCATCACCCAAAAGTATAACTAATATCAGTGAAAACAGCTGATTTTATTATATCAAAAGGAAATCTAACCACCAGTAAGTCAGTGGACCAAGATGAATATTTAACCTCATCATGCTGAAATGTATATACCGTCAAGTCTCGTTAATCCGACACTCGTTAATCCAACACTAATGATGGGAACCTATTAAATCAGTGCTATTTAGACCCGTTACTCCGACAGTCTCACACACAGACTCCGACACACCTAATTTGCAATGAATTACCAAAATCACTCATCCGACACAGTGATCAGCGTACTCCGTGGTCATCTGCCCACGAGTACACAGCCAGTGTTTTGATGAGAGATGAGTCGGCTGGTAGCTGCATATTACAAAGCTGCAGAGATAAACTTTGTTTAACAATAAACAATTAATGCTTTAAATAAGGAAAACAGGATTAATCACATGCTTAGATTACTGCAATCTCATTAAAATCAGATACAAGTTCTCGCTATCGCCAAGACATCCCATTACAGGTCATGTCAGAAGAACCTTTCGCGAACTATGACCGACGAACGTTGGTACTACTTAATTTCGTTTATCCGAGGTTCTCATTTATCCAACATAATCATAAGCAACCAGCCATGTTGGATTAACGGGACTTGACTGCACTGTTTTTATCCATGTTATCCATTCAGAGAAAGGATTTGAGAACACAGTGTTCATATTTTCACTATCGCCCAGGGACAATGTCAACGATATCCTTGAGCAATTATAATCAATAATTAAGTTATAATTGTGATTGATTTACACTAAAAACAGATACCACAATGTTAAGCACTACCACTTATTTACTACACGGCCACATTGTAAACAAAAAAGTTTCATAACAAATGAACAGAGTCCAGGCATTATTACAAGTGGTGATTTTCCTGAGCGGTGCTGAACACTTTTGCCAGTGTACATACAGTATTATTATTATGACGAGCTGTTTCCCTGTTAGGCTAAAAAAAATAATAGTCTTGGTTCTCAGGCACCTCCCGCATCATCATAAAGTTTGCCCAACGTTTCGTTTTTATTTCCATTTAATTTTATTTTTTTAAATCGTTAAATATTCCAAGTCCAACGGTAGTCAAATGCTGTTTATCATCCAAAACTGGCTCCCACAGGAAATATCGCTTGGATTAGATCAAGCAATATCTACACTGTAGATATCGCTGCAGTGAAATTACATCACAATGCTTTGTAGACCATTGTGACGTCACTGGTTACCATGACGTCACAATCAAATGACATCACTAATGACTAACTTGTGTTGATATATTTGATAGCAAAAGACACTCGGGTGAGATTCTCTATTTATCATCCAATACTGGCTCCCACAGGAGATATCGCTTGGATGAGATCAAGCGATATCTACACTGTAGATATCGCTGCAATGAAATTACATCACAATGCTTTGCAGATCATTGTGATGTCACTGGTTACCATGACGTCACAATCAAATGACATCACTAATGGCTCTGCTACTGAAGCTGTTTGCAGTACTTATTACACTGAAGACACTGCTAATTACTGTCGACAAATTGAAAAAGTTGAAAGAATGATGTTGTATGATAAATAAAATCTCACCCGAGTGTCTTTTGATATCAAATATATCAACACTCGTTGATAAAAGTGGCAAAAGTCCTCGGCAAGCCTCGAACTTTTTCCACTTTTATCAACTCGTGTTGATATATTTGATATCAAAAGACACTCGGGTGAGATTCTCTATATTTCAGTATTTTATTCATCAAGGAATACACTTATGTAGGGAAGCCTTTCCTATGTTGACTGGTCACAACTGTTTATTTGGTTACATACTAGTTTGAACAACCCCTCAAAAAAAAGAAAACAAACAAACCGCCCGCCTACACTTTATTTAAAAAAAAAACATAGCCTGAGAACCATTCTTTTATTTAGTTTTTAAGCCTCAATGACCTGATCTACTCACCGATAAGGACGACAGGGACATGTTGCTGGAACTGAACCGCCGAATCCTTGATGATTCTGTTGACTTGAATGTGGAAGTGCTGCAGCAGAAAGTAACAATGATGAAGATCATAATGGTGAGTGAGTGAGTGAGTTGGGTTTAACGCCACTTTGAACTGCATTCCAGTTAAATCCCGGCGTGTCAGCTTAATGTGGGTTGGTTTGTTGTTTAACGCCGCACTCAGCAATATTTCAGCTATATGACGGCGGTCTGTAGATAATCGAGTCTGGACCAGACAATCCAGTAATTGAAATCATGAGCATCAATCCACGCAATTGGGATTGATGACATGCATCAACAAGTCAGCGAGCCTGACCACCCGATCCTGTTAGTCGCCTTTTCTGACAAGCATAGTCACCTTTTACGGCAAGTATGGGTTGCTGAAGACCTATAGTATCCTGGAATCTTCACGGGTCCAGCTTAATGTAGGAGGAAAGCCCGAAGTGATGCACATCGCAGACATTTAGTTACCACTTTGGCACGGGTATGGTGCTGAAAAACCTAGAAACATGTTCACAATCTGATACGTATCACGACACCATGCTCACAATCTATTACGTTACACGACACCATGCTCACGATCTGATACGTATCACGATACCTTGCTCACAATCTGATACGTATCACGATACCTTGCTCACAATCTGATATGTATCACGATACCTTGCTCACAATCTGATACGTATCATGATACCTTGCTCACAATCCAAAATGTATCACATTACTTGCATGTGCTCCTTTCTGTCGAACTTACACAATATTTTTCATCTAGACAGATAGGGTGTGCGTTATTACCAGTACACCGGTATTGTGGTGCAAATCTTTCAGCAATACGTATTGCGATACGTTTGTAAATGTAGCAATATATTTGGGCAAATATAAATAAGTATATTTATGTGTTCCTAATCGATATGGTGATGGAAAATAGTATCTTTCTGATACAACTTTCCCTTGACGATCTTTTTATCAGTTAGCGTGTACACATCGCGACTATCAAGCTCCTCACAGCGATAGCCAGTCGGCGGATCTCTCTATACCGAGAGTATACAAAGGTGTCATGCGCTGGGAAGGAGCTTGCGCTTCCATGTGACCGTATTATCTCCCTTGATCGTTGCTGGGATACAACATGTTAATTGGCAATATACTGCAATACGTATCGCAATACAGTTTAAAGTATGGCAATATATTGCAATACAAAATCCAGGTCAATACACAGCCCTACTAAACAGGATGGCTAAATACCTGCCACATTGATGACTTACAGTTGGGAATATGAATTATTACACAATGGATGAAAATATTTAAGCTTTCACAACTAATGGGTGTTTGTTTGGCATAAGAGTTATTGAAAGTAAGAATCAATATTGTTTACTTGTGTGTTGATCAATACTTGTAGTGGGAAGTAAAAAATGGAGATCTACTGAAGCACTGGTGTATCATCCCACCACTAATGATTATGAATACAAATTTTGTTTGACATCACATGCCTGTTTACATAAACATTCCCATACACCAGTAAATGTGGTTTAATGTCCTAGTCAAGATCATTACACCTACTTAGCAATGTGCATGCATGTGTCTACATGTACTAGTTATGGACCTGGCTAATGGTTTTATCGTTCTAGCCTGATGAGATACCATGCCACAGTATAACAAGGATACCCCACTCCGACACAGTGTACGGCATCCGAGCCGACCAGTCGTTCTTTTAGCCCCCTAATACCGAGCGCCAGGCAGAGTAACAAGTTAATATTTTAACGTCTATTGGTATGACACTGCCAATGATCTAACCTCCAACCTTCTGCTCTCCGAACAGAGACTATCAACCAGGCCACAGAGGTGGTTCCTCTATCTACAGAACATGGTCTGCTGAAGCTACTCCAGTTCATGCACACTGAGTTACTTCCCTTTGGGCATGGGAGAGAATTGCAGTAAGTACCTTATACAGCAAGGAATAGAACGTGTTTGAACTTCTTAAAAACATAAAATGTGCATATTGATTTCAGACTGATGGGATGATTAAAAAATATGAAATGAACATAATAATAATTCGCTACATGCAGTTTGCTACATGTGAGTTTTCCTGAACTTCGTTATATATATACCAGGATAACATACTTAGTGAGCTTATGAATCTATCATTCTTATTTTCATATAGGCCTACAAATGGCGATGTATAGATACTCTGCAAACCAATCTGGGGCTTGAGGGTTTAGGGTCATAGGCATATTTAAATGTGACACAAGTTTATTTTTTTAATGCAGAATACCATTGCAAAGCAGCATATTATTTAAAACGTGTCATGGAAACAGAGCCTTATTTTCAGCAGCAAATCATGATTTTCATATGAAATTAATTTTAATTTTTTTTCAACAATGTATGTTCCTAAACATTCTGTCTTTTAATACATAGTTTAATACTGATTGCATTTTATTATCTTGTACAGCAGTAACGTGCTGGTTTGAAAAACTGCAATAAAATACTTAACAAATGTACCATGCTGGTCACTCATTCATAGCTCTGACACTCATACAGTCACATTTCCTGTTTGAATTACTGTTACACATTTGTGCATCTACCTTGTTTCTGCATTCGAAGTAGGAAGGAGCGCATTAATCATTGGCGCACTGTTTGACCTTTTCAATGTTCCAACCCCAGGCATGGCTGACGAGTTTGCCTGTGGGTCGTGATCTACCTCCATCATGGATTTAGGCTTGTGTTTCACACTCTGTGACAAATATATATGTTGTCTATGGTGCGATTAAGTTCGTCATAAAATTACAAACAGAATAAAACTTCGTATTTTGTCTCTCTGGGCAAGAAAACATGAAGATATACACGATCAGCTGGAACAAGAAAGTAACTTGATTCATAAGACGAAATTGGGACACTTGAAGAGATGTCTGACAAGACACTTGTTTGGCGTTTAGAGAACTGTCTAGGAGTATGTTGCACTCTCTAGAACTCCACCTCTGATATGCAAGAAATTAAAGCGCAGGCCCCTGCACAGAAACGCTTTAAATCTGCTCATCTTCACGCGACTTCGGTTATAATCTTCATTCAATCTCTTTTTGTTGTGGTACTGACAGGAAGTCGTAGTGTCCATTTGTTACGGCTTCGCTGATTGGTTAGTTTACGTCACTGCTTCGGCAGTAAGAAAACCACCCTATGACTTCTGTAACGGATACTTGCACAAAATATTTAGACACTGTAGTGAATAAATACTGATCAATATATCTGCATACGAATATATGAAATATTGAGCTTTACTGTTGGATTTCTGGCCGTGTCAAGGTTATTCATTAATATTTATGAGGCATTTGAACCAATGAAATTCTCTTTTACAAAGGACCTTTTAAATATCATATATCGTCATTCGATCTGAATCTTTGGGACATACGTTAGTCAATGTTGTATTTCGATTCAAGTCAATTTTACGTTTCACATTTAGCCATTTAGCCTCTAATGTTGGCTCTTGAGTAACGAAAGTCCAAATAAGGCATATTTGGAGATGTCGTAAAATGTCACAAGTTCGTGAATGTTCGCCATTTTCCGTTTGATTTCGGCATTGCGATCACTAATTTTTTTTAAATGTGTTAAATTTCACGGTAAACATATAATTCCCAGTAAAATAAAAACAAAACTTAATAAAGAATGACAGAAAGATCATAAATACTATTACAGTAGAACACGTGTATCCCAGAAATGGTAGCGATTTCACACATTTGTTGTTTGATAACGAAAAAAATCAGCATATTTTCAATCAAAATTATTATAAAAAAGACTATATATATATATATATATATATATATATATATATATATATATATATATTTCAATGTCATTGTAACTTGAAACGAGCAAGGGTAGGAAACCCGTTTTGACAATTTTCAGTTTATGTTGAGGCTCATCTTCCCGAGGCAAGCGTGTCCACTAGCCTATATCAATCAAGACTATGATTAAAAGGCCAGTGGACGCTCTTGCCTCGGGAAGATGGTTTAGGCCCGTGGTTCAACCAGTGACTCTTTTGCCTTATGTGATCGTTAAACTTTTGCAATTTACACATCTAGTTGAACACACGAGGTTTGTGTTCATGCATTTCACTTTCCATGCAGACAGTAAATTAAGATAATTTATTTCCTGTAGACATTTGACCTATTTTCATGAAAGACAAGTATTTTTATTTTTTTTATTAATAAATAAGACAGCATGATGTTTAGAAACGAGATTAGGTGAACTAAATAACCGGTATTCCCCAGTGAGGAACACAATGCCATTTAAATTTCTTGGTACAATCAACAACAATAACACAAAGGGTTAATACAATGACGTCATCTAAACACATTTCAAGGAATACATTACGCATTGCGTAATATAACTTTGGACATACTCATTATAGGTTCTGGCAAATCCAACAGCTTCATCAGTTAAAAAGTGAAAGTAAAATTATACCTGGTTTGAACTTCGAACTGAAACCTCCATAGGACCCGAACACAAAAGTAACAAGTTAGCAGAGTTATTTCCCTTCCCCGACATGTTCTCCGTTTATATCTTGAGTGAGTGAATGAGTATGCTTTTACGCCGCTTTTAGCAATATTCCAGCAATAACACGGCGGGGGCAACCAGAAATGGGCTTAACATATTGTACCCATGTCAGGAATCGAACCCGGGTCTTCGGCGTGACGAGCGAACGCTTCAACCACTAGGCTACCCGACCTCCTCCCATTTATCTTATCCCCGTGAAGATTCCGGTGTAGAATAGGTCTTCAGCAACCCATGCTTGCCGTAAAAGGTGACTATGCTTGTCGTAAAAGGCGACTAACGGGATCGGGTGGTCAGGCTCGCTGACTTGGTTGATGCATGTCATCGATCCCAATTGCGTGGATCGATGCTCATGATATTAATCACTGGATTGTCTGGTCCAGACTCGATTATTTACAGACCGCCGTCATAAAGCTGGAATATTGCTGGTTGCGGCGTTAAACAACAAACCAACCAACCAACCAACCCATTTATATTGAAATGAATATAATTGTAGCATAAACCAAAATGTAATATATTACTAATATTTCACAAAGGAGAGAAACGATTATTTGCAATTACATCTTAGTGTTCATAACAATTACTTTACCACACGCAGAATAACAGTGTAAAGTCCTATATCCTTTCATTATGTGTAACATATTCTAAGACCGTTATTGTGTTCCGTTTCCAGGTTTAGTGTGTACGTAGAGAGACTTTATAACCGATAACACTTTCTCAGTAAAGTACAGATTCTTTACTTTAGTAGGCTGGGTCCCGTCCGAGATTCCAACCCAACTGCCAAAGTGAGGCAGCGATCTAACCCACTCAGCCACCGAGGCTTCCACAAAATTGAAAGTCCGACAACTGTTAGTCTACATCACGTACTTTGTGTACCCATTTGACAAGTGTAAATTGGCACGGCTCCCATGGCCGAAAGCTATGAATACATAATGCCATTTAGAAAGTGGTCAAATGTAACAGACGTTATATGCATATATATATATGCACAGGGAAACTGTGAATCACGACCTGTAAGTTGAGGAGATGTCTTCGTGAATATGTATTAAAAGATGCACTATTTTATTTCTGAATAATTGTTTTATATCTTTTTTATATGACGCACAATTACTTTTTCCCGTCAATATATATTGAATATCATCTTCCCGAGGCAAGGGAGTAAACTGACTCTTAAAGTCCAGTTTCCACCCTTGCCGAACAAGGTCCCTCCTATTGACCAATCAGTTTCCACAAGACCGTCTCCGTGGTCTAGTGGTAGAGCGTCCGCCCGGAAAGCGGAAGGTCCGGGGTTCGATCCCCGGCCGCGTCATACCAAAAGACGTTAAAAGATGGTACTTGTTGTTACCCTGTTTGGCGCTCGGCATTAAGGGGCTAAAACAAGAACTGGTCGGCTCGGAGTCAGGATACTGTGTCTGAGTGGGGTATTCATGTTAAACTGCGGCATGGTATCTCAGTGAGTTAGCACTATAAATCGGCATCATTTCGGACTAGTACAAGCAGCCACACAGACACACGCGTGTACGCACGTCGCTATATAAGTGCAATAATCTTGGACGCGACGTTAAACCCAACACTAGGACTGGTCGGCTCGGAGTCAGAATACTGTGTCTGAGTGGGGTATTCATGTTAAACTGCGGCATGGTATCTCAGTGAGTTAGCACTATAAATCGGCATCAGTCCGGACTAGTACAAGCAGCCACACACACACACATACATACACGTGCATGCACGTCGCTATATAAGTGCAATAATCTTGGACGTGACGTTAAACCCCATTTCACCTCACTTCAGATTCCACCTCTCATATCACTTGTATTTGCTTCAAATAAGATATAGCGTCGCCCAGTGAAGACGATCTGATCGATAATCAAAATCTATATTGTAAAAAAAAGACCTTTTTTCGCTAAGTGCACAAAATCACGCGAGCACCTTGATTACAAACATGACAAGATTTGGAAAATATCTGTTGACGCTAATTTGACGGTAGACTATAATCGACCGAAATCTGCACGGCAGTTGACGAACCGGTTGTCGATTTCGTCGTGCGATTTTGATTGGACAATGAATAGACTCGTTAGTCCAGCCAAAATATGTCTCCATAATTCCAGCCAAGTTCGGCAAGGATGGAAACTGGATTTTTAGAGTCAGTTAACGCCCTTGCCTCGGGAAGATGATTGAATAGTTGGATACTCCCTTCTTGGACCCGGGACAGTGGGTTAGCCCTAATGGGTAAAGTGTTCGCTTGTTACGCTGAAGACCCAGTATGGGGTCTATATGTGAAGCCTGCGATATTGCTAAACGCTGTGTAAAATCTCCTTCAGCAAGTCCCTGTAATATTAAACAATATTTCCTTTTCTTTTACTATGGATCCTATGGAATCGGGGCGTCGGGGTAGCCAAGTGGTGAAAGCGTTCGCTCGTCACGCCGAAGGCCCAGGTTCGAGTCCCAATTAAAGTACAACGTGTGAAGCCTATTTTCGATGTGCCCCGCCGTGATGTTGCTGGAATATTGCTAAAAGCGGCGTAAAACCATACTCACTCACTCCACGCTTGTGGGTTTCACCAAAGTAGTGAACGTCTACGAAATGTGACTTTTAGGGTTTTGTCCTCCCACATCTACCTGACACGCCGTGGTGTAACAGAAACACTGTTCAAAAGCCAACTCACGCACTCAGTGACATTTTAAATGCTGGGCTGGGCTGAACATTGCACCGTTAAAGGCGACTATGCTTGTCGTAGGAGGCGACTAACGGGATCGGGTGGTCAGGCTCGCTGACTTGGTTGATGCATGTCATTGTATCCCAATTGCGTGGGTCGATGCTCATGATGTCAATCACTGGATAGCCTGGTCCAGTCTCAATAATTTACAGACCGCCGTCATATAGCTGGAATATTGCTGAGTGCAGCGTTAAACAAAAAAACATTGCAGCAGTCAGTAGTCGAAGCGCCCATAAAATGATACTGACTACAAAGAATATCCGAATACAATTGTTTTTGTTTATATTTTTTTATTTCTGTTGTATCTCTTGCTAAACTATCCTAATGAGGTGAGAGATTAAACTAATCTCCGTATCGAATATTTATAATTTAGAAACGTTTTTCGTTTCTTGGATTGGTGATATTTGGGTTAAAACTGATGGACTCTGATTTTTCTTTATATTTGCAAAACATAATCTACTAACATTTGTTTCAGTTAGTAAAACTATCTTTACGCCGCAATCAGTAATGTCCTTGCTAAGATGCTAAACCCAAACGTAGTGCTTCTTGTATGTATGTATATATATATATATATATATATATATATATATATATATATATATATATATATATATACAAAAATGAGGTAAATGTTCACTCGGTGTACATGTAATATATAATAAAATAATAAAGTCCACGTTAGTCCATCATCTTCTTTATATCAGTTTCATACATAGTACTTTCGCTGTCTCATGACAGCTCTTCAGTGTAACTGACAATGACATATAATGACGTCATACTTATGATGACGTCATAAATTACAACTGTGACGTCACAATGTATTTACACACTCCAGCGACGACACCAAGTAATT